AGACCTGTTAGTTTTTCTTTAAGAAGCCCTCCTGTTCTCCACTCATTTCCTGTATTAACTGCACCTGTTTGAATTCTTACCTGTATTAAAGACACCTGTCCACACACTCAATCAAACAGACTCCAACCTCTCCACAATGGCCAAGACCAGAGAGCTGTGTAAGGACACCAGGGATAAAAGTGTAGACCTGCACAAGGCTGGTATGGGCTACAGGATGATAGGCAAGCAGCTTGGTGAGAAGGCAACAACTGTTGGCGCAATTATTAGAAAATGGAAGAAGTTCAAGATGATGGTCAATCACCCTCGGTCTGGGACTCCATGCAAGATCTCACCTCGTGGGGCATCAATGATCATGAGGAAGGTGAGGGATCAGCCCAGAACTACACGGAAGGACCTGGTCAATGACCTGAAGAGAGCTGGGACCACAGTCTCAAAGAAAACCATTAGTAACACACTACGCCGTCATGGATTAAAATCCTGCAGCGCACGCAAGATCCCCCTGCTCAAGCCAGCGCATGTCCAGGCCCGTCTGAAGTTTGCCAATGACCATCTGGATGATCCAGAGGAGGAATGGGAGAAGGTCATGTGGTCTGATGAGACAAAAATAGAGCTTTTTGGTCTAAACTCCACTTGCCGTGTTTGGAGGAAGAAGAAGGATGAGTACAACCCCAAGAACACCATCCCAACCGTGAAGCATGGAGGTGGAAACATCATTCTTTGGGGATGCTTTTCTGCAAAGGGGACAGGACGACTGCACCGTATTGAGGGGAGGATGGATGGGGCCATGTATCGCGAGATCTTGGCCAACAACCTCCTTCCCTCAGTAAGAGCATTGAAGATGGGTCGTGGCTGGGTCTTCCAGCATGACAACAACCCGAAACACACAGCCAGGGCAACGTATGATCTCTGTAATTGCAAACAACGGTTTCTGTACCAAATATTAAGTTCTGCTTTTCTGATGTATCAAATACTTATGTCATGCAATAAAATGCAAATTAATTACTTAAAAATCATACAATGTGATTTTCTGGATTTTAGTTTTAGATTCCGTCTCTCACAGTTGAAGTGTACCTATGATAAAAACTACAGACCTCTACATGCTTGCAAGTATCAAATACTTGTTCTACCCACTGTATGCACACTGTCTGAAGCAAGCGTATTAATCTAGGAGTGATAGTGCTTGATGACAAAGATTTGGTAAGCATGAGTGTTTAATGGGGACTAAACAATACAGAGCTGTCACGATCGTCGGATATAGAGGACCAAGGCGCAGCGTGGAAGGTGAACATACTTATTTATTAAATGATACACGAACAAAACAACAAATCGATACGTGACGTCCACAGGTGCAAAACACAAACCAACACGGAACAAGATACCACAAACACTGTGGGAAAACCACCTGACTAAATATGGTTCCCAATCAGAGACAACCAGCAACAGCTGATACTCGTTGCCTCTGAGAACCACTCTGGCAAACATAGATATACAAAAACTAGACTAGACACAACGAGCACAAAACATAAACTCTACACACCCTGGCTCAACTTAAAAGAGTCCCTAGAGCCAGGGCGTGACAGTACCCCCTCCTAAAGGCGCGGACTACGACCGCGCCTAAACATCACCGAACAGGGGAGGGCTGGGTGGGCATTCCTCCTCGGAGGCGGTTCCGGCTCCGGGCTTGACCACCACCCTCTACTAACCCCCCTGTAGTGCCCCTGGTCTGGTCTAGCCCCACTGGCTGGAGCTGGACTGGACTTCGGTGGAGCGGATTGCTCAGGCTCTGGTGCTGAGCAGCTGACCGGTACCTGACCAGGCACCGGTGAAACGGGCACGGGCTGGCGATGCGCACCACAGGTTTGGTGCGGGGAGCAGGAACAGGCCGGACCAGGCTGGCGACGCGCACCATTGGCTTGGTGCGGGGAGCAGGAACAGGCCGGGCCAGGCTGGCGACGCGCTCCACTAGCTTGGTGCGGGGAGCAGGAACAGGCCGGGCCGGGCTGGCGATGCGCACCACAGGTTTGGTGCGGGGAGCAGGAACGGGCCGGGCCGGGCTGGCGACGTGCACCATAGGCTTGGTGCGAGGGGCAGGAACAGGCCGGGCCGGGCTGGCGACGCGCACCATAGACTTGGCGCGATGGACAGGAACAGGCCGGACCGTACTGGGAACACACACCACTGGCCTTACACGGGGATCAGGAACGGGCCGGACCGGACTGGCAACACACTTCAGTACCTCTCGCCGTGCCTCTACATTTTCCTTCCCTCTATACACCAATGGCTCCCGTAACCCGGTGGCCTTCTCTCCTCGTCCACCAACTCGCCCCTTATCTGCCTCCAGTGGCCCCGTCGTCCCTGCCATGTGCCCCCCCCTAAAAATGTATTGGGGGTGCCCCTCGCCTGTCCGACGACTGCCCGGTTGGCGCCGCTTCTCCTCTCCTGCCTGGGCACGCTGCTTGGTCCTGTATTGGTGGGATCTTCTGTCACGATTGTTGGATATAGAGGACCAAGGCGCAGCGTGGAAGGTGAACATACTTATTTATTAAATGATACACGAACAAATCGATACGTGACGTCCACAGGTGCAAAACACAAACCAACACGGAACAAGATCCCACAAACACTGTGGGAAAACCACCTGACTAAATATGGTTCCCAATCAGAGACAACCAGCAACAGCTGATACTCGTTGCCTCTGATTGAGAACCACTCTGGCCAACATAGATATACAAAAACTAGACTAGACACAACGAGCACAAAACATAAACGCTACACACCCTGGCTCAACTTAAAAGAGTCCCTAGAGCCAGGGCGTGACAAGAGCCTAATGAACTGAGTGCCAGACAGAGGAAGTTACATGACTGAAACCATAGCTTCATCTTTGTTTACTGAATGATAATACATAAATCACTGTTGATGACAACATAATGACATGCTGTAACCATGTTACCTCTTTAACAAAACCGCTAATGGTATGAACAGCTCCCCTTGAGCCAACATACCCATTTCCATTATGCATGAAAAAATGTATGAAATATATGTAACAGCAAACTTTTCATTCAAAATAAAAAATGAACAAATCTGTACACAAGGACTAATTTATACTTTGCCAAATCCAGTATTAATCCCCAGTAGATTTCTCAACACTTGTTGAGTTTTAGTGAGTAGCACTGTTTTCTGTTCATGACCATAAGCAGGGAGACATATACCCAAAACAGATGCTCTCCAGGAGTGACAGCGGGTTGGAAAATATTCAATCATCTTTGGTGCTTTCCTTACAAGGAAAGTTACGAGACCTTTTCTGGCCCAATATCTGGTGTGCCGTTGTAACAATGTGAATAAAAACGGATACCCTGTCTGAAAGTTGCCTGTCCTCAGTGAGAGTAGGACTGAGTCCAGGATCATGAATGTCTGACATGGAGCTGGGGCCTCCAGGGGCCATCAGGAACCCCACTCTGAGCTGCAGCAGTGGACTCTTTAAGAGAAACCCACCATGTTTCAAAAGCACAGAATGTCCAGTCTTAAGGAGTTATCTTTAATGGTAGCTAAGTTATAGTGAACATCTCAAGACAATGCACATGACTAGGGCCTATAGCCAACATACGTGTCTTAACTCTGGTGAGCTAAACAGCTAACAGGGGATGTTGTACTTTGTAAACAGTATTGTGAACGGCACAATATGACCTACCTCATATAGACCTGACCCTGGTGTCCGCTGGTTATTGGCACCACTACTCTAGGTCTCCACGGGTTTCTGCACTGTCTTCCTGGGCAGAGAAAACTCCAGATGTGGCTGAGCCTTGCTTAACAGCTCTCTGAAGTGGTCAAGGGCTATTGGATAGGCAGATGATGCTTTGACATGGGCCATTAACTGGAATTATTTGTATTGAATAATGTCCAGTGTGCAGCTATGGAAATTATATTTGAGGAATGAAGCAATGTGCCCAGCATGTTGTTATGTTTATGTTTGACTGAGATCACATCTGAATGCTATGTTACATGATAAGTTACAGGCTTCTTTCTTGAGATGCCCTAGTGTGCAGCCTACTGATTGAACAATAGTTGATATGTTGAATTGCATACAAATGTAATAATCAATTTGATATTTCACAATCAATTACAATAAGCATGTACCATAATCACCAGTTGAATTGAAATAGAAAATAGCTTGTTTTTCTTAAATGAAAATGTGACACATTTTTACAACTATTCATTTGTCATTAAAATAAAAAGTATAAATGAAAAGTAAAAGTGGAAAGAACATTTCGTTCAACGGAATGTCAATGTTATGGAGAATACGCCGCCTATTGCGAAACAAAATGAGAGGGGCCGAACGATTAGAGGATATCTAAATTCAAATCCTCCCTCCGTTCGCTACTTGTGATTGGATGGTGTACACCAGGCTGGGCGTACATGTCAGTCAAGATGAGGGGGTGCCGCTAATTTCTATGCCTGTAATGTCAATTTGGGTCTCAGATTGCATCCCAGTGTTTTGGTGTTAGGGAATCCTCACTCCTCTCCAAACGCAGAAGACTCACACTCCGTGGTTGTCGTAGGACGCGGCTTGAGAGTAGTAGGCTATTATTTTACTTGAAACAACACTGAAAGTGCACCTACCTACAGTAGGCATTGAATCCTTTTTTCCTGAGGATAGCCCATTGATAGTAAAAGGTAGCCAGCCTACCGGAGAGACCAAACCAGGAGCATCCATGCATTTTTCCGTGCACTTTTCCGAGGTAGCATATTCTCAACTGGGCAGTATGCTGCCCAATCTGCTGTAAAGGCACTGACAGCGCAGGCTCATTCCCTTTTAAAGGCAATTTTGTAACTTCTGGAATTACATCTAACGGACCTTGCGGATTTAATGTGGCGATTTACTTGACAGAAGGAAAGAGTTTGCTTAGGCCTACATTTTTAACATAGGCTACCGATCTTGGGGTCATCATCATCTTTGAAATATGTTCAGCAATTGTTTGGTCGCGTTCTTGAATTTCTCAATTATGGTGCGTGTGTTGATGTCTCATAAATGTACGCCATGTGATCTACGGACGTGTCCACCGAAAGCCTGCGAGAGCGGTCGGACTCTGGCCAGGGACCCGTGCGGATGCTGCGAACAGTGTACCCGAATGGAGTGGGAGCCGTGCGGCGGCCAGGACTGGGCACTGGGCTACTGCGCCTTGGGACTAACCTGCGCGGCTGTCAACCAAACGCGAGTTGTAACGCTCCCTGATATAGGAGTTTGTAAAGGTGGGTAGCCTATGTCTAGAGTTGCAAAATCATCTTTATTAAATAGTAGGCTAGTAATGGTTAATTCCATGGTAACGGAATTAGCTGAGATCTTTCACTTTCAAATGTATACCAAACACAAACCATTGATTTCAAAGTTTAACAAACCGTAGAACTCTGTGCACAAGGACTACTTTTAACAATTTCCAGTGACATTTTACAAAACCACATTTACAAGAAGGACTGTGCAGATACAAAGTTTGGTAACAGAATAAAACTGAGGGAGATTTTACCATAACTCTGTTACCAAACTTTGCATGGCACAGTTTTTCGAGTAAATGTTTATTTATTTATTTTTTACTGTGTAAATTGTTCAAAGTAGTCATTGTGCATAGAGTTGTATGGTTTGTTAAGCTTTTAAATCAATATCTTTTGTTTGGCATACATTTTACAGTGAAAAATCAGTCTCAGCATAATTCAGTTATTGTGGAATTACCCTAAGGCTACTTGGCAATTATTTCTTATTGATTGATGGAAGAATGGGAGTTTTTGACATTGAGGTTCCAGCCACAAGATTATTCATCAACATCACACTCAGCTCAGGGCAGAAAAGTTTCATCTCCATAGTAAGTGATTACTCTCATTTGGCTTGAGTACACCACAGTGTGCCAGCCAGTTCATGATTCCATTGACTGTGCTGTGTGGACATTGTCTCTGAGCTCAGTGGGCTGGTTGGAGCAGGTCTACAGGTTTAAGTAGCTCTTGACTACCAACAGAGGACCTCATGTTAGACTGTTCATTTCCCCCCTTGAAACCCCAGCCCTCTTCTCTTGCAGGCATGACAATAGGTTTGGCAACAAACCTTTGCACCATGCCTCCATGTCAGTATTACTAGAGTTCAGGCTTCCCTGCTAGGGCCCAATTTGACATCTCTAAAAAGTTATTGAATTAAGATAAGACAAAAATGACTATTTTCATTTGTATGATTTAAAAAATGTGTTGAGTGTTACTGTGCGTGTACACTTGACTAATTTGATCCTGAAACAGATTAGCTGTCCTTGTAGAAAGTGTTTTGCTGTGATGTGGTTGCACAATCAATGGGCTTATGATGTGCCTCTGAGGGCTCCCTTGGGGTCAAGGCAAAATTGCAAAAGTCTCACCAGCAGGTTTACATTGGCAGATTTATCTGAATGACCTTACCATGAATCACACTGTGGTGTCCCTGCCTTCCCTCCTATCAGACCCATGTCCTATACCAGTCCTATACTAACAGTCTATTAAGCTGTTATACACATGATATCCCTGACTCCCAGGAACATTATACTCCAGAGGATGGCTCTCTAAATCTCTTTTAGGGCTTCAAGGGTACCCATCCATGACCATTGTGTGTTTGTGTGTGTGCGCGCGCGCGCGTGCATATGTAGCATTCTGAAAGGATAGCCAAGATTAGCTTTTCACACAGTTGGTAAATCAGAACAGGAGTTGCCCTTTGAGAGAGCTGGGCATGGGGACTGGTCAGGATCACATCATGCACCAGCCAGTCCCTCACCTGGACTCTGTCCAGACTGAAACAAAGCGATTGCATGGGACTGACATTACCAGAGGTGAGGAAAAGCAGTCCCACGTTGGGGCCGGATTTACATGATCCTGCCCTCCATCATCACTCGGTAGGGTCTGGTGGTCCTGGGTCTCCAGCCCCAGGGTGTCCCAGGAGATAGTGTCCCTGATTGGGCTTTGTTTACAGGTTGTGCGGGCAGGCCTTAATCCCTCTCCACACCCATAGCTACCGCCTCTGTCAAACTAACAGCTTTGAATGGGTCTAAATGATGAATGCACTAATTTTAAGTTGCTCGGGATAAGAGCATCTGCTAAATGACTAAAATGTCAAATGTAAAAGTTAATGGCTTCCATGATTGAGTCGTGCCTCTGGTCTCGTGGCTGCGGGCCCCAGTGCATGCAGAGCGGCCCCCCAGTGGGGTTGGCTGGGTGAGGGTAAATCAACACCTCCCTGTGTGTTTGCAGAGGCCACGAGGGCCAGGCTGATCCGGGATTTCCCTCCCAAGCCGGGGGTAGGGTCTTAAAGTGATTAGGGTCGCAATCAGGAGTAGGGGGTAAATGTTTCCAGTCTCTGACCCCTGCTTCTCTCTCTGCTCCTCTGCTCTGAGTCTTGTTGTTCTGGGTGGTCAATATGGAAGGGCAGAGTGCAAATTGTCAGTAGGCCTATACTATTGTAGCCTGAATTAATTTATGTGTCTTGCTGACAAATTGACCTTTTTTTGTAAAAAGAAAAGTTGGGACACCTGAAAGGGGCTGAAATACAGGACGCAAATACAACTGTAAACCCCAAGCTCATGTCTGATTCGGGGGTTCTGCGTCCACCCCGTAATTCGCACACTATGGGAGGGTGATGGAGGTTGAAGAAAGTAGACCAACTCTTCAGGTGACGTCTGTAGTAGACAAACGTGTACAGTCAGTGAGAAAATAGCTGATACACATGATATTGAACAGAATGCTAAATATCCAGCAAATGTAAGCTTATGAGGACTTTTATGCTACGTGCATACTGTACATCAAGTGCAGTCAGTTAAAGTGGTTGTGTATTGTAATGACAGCTGTGATTAGGGAAAGTTGCCTGTGAATCCAAACACGTAACTGATTTAATGGTCCTCTGTAGCTCAGCTGGTAGAGCACGGCGCTTGTAATGCCAAGGTAGTGGGTTCAATCCCCGGGACCACCCATACACAAAAAATGTATGCACGCATGACTGTAAGTCGCTTTGGATAAAAGCGTCTGCTAAATGGCATATTATTATTATTAATCCCCAAAGGGTTTTCACCACTTGAGTGATATTGATGCTTGGCCTAGGGTGTTTTTGTTTTGTCTGTCTCACTGTGTTAGTGCCCCCTCTTCCCTCTCCAGAGCACTTAAAAAACCACCTCACAGAATGTCTGTCCTCAAGCGCAAAGACTGGACACTGCGTCCTGTCCAGTCCACTACTCCTTCACATGCTGTCCACTTCCCTCTTCCTCCAGCATTATCTAATGTTTCAAAGACTTCCTTTTGAGCTCGCTATCAGCCAAAGAGCCTCAGAGGTCAATTTCCCATTGCAGCTCTGGATGCCAACAAAGCAGTCTCCATGGCTGAGAGGACTTCTCCAGAGATCCAGCTGTGATCCAAGCCCTGGCCAGAGTCAGAGCAGGGCCAGCTGAGTGGGGTCATATCACAACCGGGGGGTCAACCTAATCATTAGCTACAGTAATTAGAGGTCCACCCCCCCTAACCTCTCATTTAGCTTTGTCTACCTCCTGTCTCCTACTCCTGGAGGCCCCGTTTAGCAACCCACAGACACACTCAGACACCCACCTTCAATGACTGCCATGTAAAAATACCCTCCCAGGCACAGGAAGGCCCAGAGATGGAACAAATGTGGAGGTGGGGATCATTTTAAGGTAACAGGAAAAAAGAGGGAGAGTTTTTGCGAGGCAGGGGAGCTCCGTTTGAAAAGCCTGCCTGTCCTCTCTCTCCACCAGCCGGCCGGCCTACCCATGATTCCTGGTAGGAGTTTTCCAGAAGGTAACATTTCAAGGCCAAACACAAGTTTAATATGGGTGGGTACCTCTTCCTCCCTCCCTCCCCCTCTACTCTCCCCAATGTCTTGGCTGGTTTAACTCATAGGGACCATGACTGTCTGCCACCCAATATTCACCTCTCTCTCTTTCAACTCTGGAAATAATCACTTTTAGAGTCTCCAGAATTAGCACATCAGAGAGAGACGTGGGTTTGTCTAGGTGACCATTATAGGCTACATACAGAGCACTTCTCAAGTACCACTTCTGAAAGGAATATCTGAATGTGCTGTAAGATAATAGAAGTTCATCCCTACTTTCCCTTTGTTTCGTATTAATAAATTAACAACATGTACATTTTCTTAAGTATTTTCTTCACAGCCAGCCAAGATGTCCATTCATACACAATCATATTTAATCACCATTCTCTCCCGGCCCCTAGCAGAGTATGAAAGCAAGGCCTCCCTTTCTGAGAGGAAAGAAGAATAAGTACACCTTTACTCACTGATTACCACTCTATAGTCTTTTTACCAGTTTAATTAGCCCAGCTCCTGTAATACATTCTGATGGGCACACTACTACTCATACTTCTAAATGTGTCTGTGAGAGAAGCCACAGTAATCAAGTCTCTACATTGTTGATTGAGGCCTGGGAGCCAAGCCGTTGAAGGGAGAGGAGCGCTGTATTGTGGGGTTTTCTGTTTGAGCCTGTTTACTCTGTGGCAGGCAATGCATCAGGCATGAACACGGCCACCCTGTGGGGTCCCTGAGGAGCAGAGAGGGGGGCTCACCATGGCAGCTGACGTGGTAGGTCTTCTGATGGTGAGAGGGCTCCTGTCTCCCCTCCATCCTCCACCCTCCCATTGTCATTAGATGTGTTTGTTTGTGTTGAGCTCAGCCTGGAGGAGCTAGCTACAGTATCTCAGAGGTAGGGGTAGGGATGGTTGGCTGGGCATGGGGCAAACACATCAGCTCAACAGCAGTAGCAAGGCAATGCATGGCAGGAACAGAACAGGGATGTCTGATGCAGCCCAGGCCACACCACACTGCTCTGGATCGCTTTGATGATGCTTCTCTTCTCCTCTCCCCTCCTCTTCACCCCCTCCCCTCTCCTCTCTTCTCCTCTAATATCTCGGCTCCTCCTCTCCACAGTTCTGCCTGACAGTCCAGAGGCTGGGTTGGAGGATGAGCGCTGTCCCCTGCAGACAGGATGTGACAGGGCCGGGGCCATGTGTGTGTGTGATGCCCGTCACTCCTGCCTGGGCTCCTTCAGCTACCCTGACATGGAATCCTGCATGAGGGCCAGCAAGACAGGTGAGTTTCCCACAGCTAGCCGTCAGGAGCATGAGAATGCAATCCATTGAACATGCTAATGCTAATCCATACCAGATGTTGTACGCTGGTGACTAACGCCAGTAACATGTCATGCTCAGGCTTTGTCTGAGAGTGCCCCAGCATGGATCTGTGTGGTGCCATTGTCAGTGACTCCTGATGACTGACTATGTCCTGTACCCCTTCTCTTACTTTTAGAGGGCCGTAGACATGAGCACCAGGAGAGTCACAGGGAGAAGTTTGTGGGCCCCTCCAACCCAGCCTGCATGTTCTCTGGGTGCAACCTGACAGCACAGGGCTGTGTGTGTGAGTCCCAGAGCTGCCACTATCACTCCTCCTACATCAACCGCAGCCAGTGCCAGGAGGCCGCAGGTAACCTAGAACTAACCTAAAACTAACCTAAAACTAACCAACAACTGCTCAAGTCATGTTGCACAAAGGGGGCTGATACAGTGGTTGATACAGTGATATACAAAATGTAGATGCAAACTTTCTGTACTGCTAACATTCACTTCCAGTCCGGCGCTGGTCCAATGAATTTGTTTATTTTCAAACACTTCTGCATGGAATTATTACATTGTTTAACATTCTCTATCTTCAACCTAGACCCATACAGTACGGCGAGTCAGCATAACCTGTGAAAAATCACAGAGATGTAGTATACAACCAGTCAGTCTATTCCAAAGTCTTTCCCATGTCAACACTGAGAGACAGAGTAGCTGTCACAAGCCGGGCTAGAACTCCGGTCTCAGATGTGTAGAGCTGGGGGTACTACCCCTTAGCCACAGAGGAGATGTTGTAGGACCCAAATGAAACACCCAAGGCAATACTCCAGGCAAGTAGATTTAATGTTCCAAAACAGGAGGCAAAACAAAACAACTCCACGAGGGGAGAAAAACAAACTAAAGATAACTTCGAACAACTTACTAGGACTGACACGGTGGGACAAAGCAGGAGACACATAGTCAGGACGCAATAACCAAGTGAGAAACAAGGGGAAAACACACAGCTAAAATACTAAAGGGAAAACAAGGCACAGGTGACCTGGATCAAACTAATGAGGACACATGAGGAAGAACAAAGGCAGAGGGGAACACAGCTGACCTCTAGAGGCCAGGAGACAAACAGGAGAAGCAGGAAGCTGACAGGACCCCCTCCTCTAGGAACGACTCCTGACGTTCCTTCCAGAACACCCTGGCCTCAGGGTGCGAAAATCTCGGACCAACCCTGGATCCAGGATGTCCCTGGCTGGAACCCAGGAGCGCTCCTCTGGCCCGTAGCCCTCCCAGTCCACCAGATACTGCAGAGAGTTCTGGACCCTCCGGGAGTCCAGTATCCGGCGGACTGTGTAGGCTGGCTGGCCGTCAATAATCCTGGGAGGTGGCGGGGGTCTGCGTGGGGGGGCAAAGGGAGAAGACAAGACAGGTTTAATAAGTGAGACATGGAAAGTGGGGTTAATACGAAGGGAGCGAGGGAGAACCAAACGATAAGACACAGGGTTAACCTTTCTAGCAATGCGGAAAGGGCCGATGTATCTCTGGGAAAGCTTCTTGGATTCGACCCGGAGGGGCAGGTTCTTAGTGGCCAACCAAACTCTCTGACCAGCTCGGAAACTAGGGGCCGTCCGGCGGTGGCGATTAGCCTGACTTTGGTATCTCTGGGAGGTCCGAAGGAGGGCACGCCTGGCCTTCTTCCAGGTCCGCCTACAGCGTTGGACAAAGCGCTGGGCCGAGGGAACACCAACCTGCGCCTCCTCCTCTGGAAATAATGGAGGGTTGTAACCGAACTGGCATTCGAATGGGGACAATCCGGTGGCTGAGGACTGGAGGGTGTTGTGGGCGTATTCAGCCCAAATGATATAGGTGGCCCAAGACGTGGGATTACTGGCCGCCATACACCGCAGGGTGGTCTCCAGATCCTGATTAACCCGTTCCGTTTGGCCATTAGACTCTGGATGGAACCCCGACGATAGGCTGGCTGTGGCCCCAACAAGCCTGCAGAAGGCCCCCCAAAACCGGGACGAGAATTGGGGACCTCGGTCAGAGACCACGTCCAGGGGAATACCAAATATCCGGAAGACATGGTTCATGAGGAGCTCAGCAGTCTCCTTAGCCGAGGGCAGCTTGGGCAGGGGGATAAACCGGGCAGCCTTAGAGAACCGGTCTACCACCACTAGGATGACGGTGTTGCCCTGGGATAGAGGAAGTCCCGTAACAAAGTCCAGAGAAAGGTGTGACCATGGCCTTCGAGGAACAGGTAAGGGATGGAGCAGTCCCTGGGGTCGCTGGCGTGTCGACTTTCCCTGGTTGCACACAGGGCAGGCCTCAACATAGCCCTGCACGTCCTTCTTGATGGACGGCCACCAAAACCGCCGTCGGAGGAACTCCAGTGTGCGAGCACTGCCTGGATGGCATGTCAAGGGCGACTCATGACCCCACTGCAAGACGCGGGCCCGAACAGAGAGAGGAACGTACAGGCGACCGGCAGGACCACCGCCTGGATCGGGCTCCTGGACAAGAGCTTCTCGTACCCCTCTTTCTAGTTCCCACTGAAGAGGTGCGACGATCCTAGACCTCGGAATAATCGATGCCAAGGGCTTCTCTTGTACCTCGGGAGAGTAGACTCGAGACAGAGCATCCGGCTTGACGTTCTTGGTGCCAGGTCGGTAAGTCAGGAGGAACTGGAATCGATTAAAGAAAAGAGACCATCGTGCTTGCCGAGGGTTCATCCGCTTAGCCTGTTGGAGATATTCCAGGTTCTTGTGGTCTGTGAGAACCTGGAAAGGGTGCTGAGCCCCCTCAAGCCAATGGCGCCACTCCTCCAAGGCCAGTTTTACCGCAAGCAACTCTAGATCCCCCACGTGGTAGTTGCGCTCGGCCTCAGACAGGCGGCGAGACATGAAGGCACAAGGGTGTAATCTCCCATCCGCACCCCTCTGTGACAGGACGGCTCCTACCCCCCACTTCTGAGGCGTCCACCTCCACCACGAAAGGTCTTTCTGGGTCAGGGGTCACCAGAATCGGAGCAGAAGTGAAGCGGCGCTTGAGATCCTCGAAGGCCCCTGCTGCTTCCGGACCCCAGTGAATCTTGGTCCCTCCTCCCTTGGTAAGCGTCGTCAAGGGGGCTACCACCGAGCTGAAATTCTTGATGAACTTCCGATAGAAGTTAGAAAAGCCAATGAACCGTTGAACCTCCTTGACCGTGGCAGGTGTGGGCCAATCGTGGACCGCCTTGACCTTCTTGGGATCCATCTCTAGGTGCCCGGGAGTGACAATAAACCCGAGAAACTGAGTCTGAGAAACATGAAATTCACACTTCTCAGGCTTAACGTAGAGGTGATTGTCAAGGAGCCTCTGGAGAACCCGGCTAACATGCCCCTCATGCTCCTTCAGTGACCTCGAGAAGATGAGGATATCGTCCAGGTACACGAAGACGAACAGATTAAGCATATCCCGGAGAACATCATTAATCAGGGCTTGGAATACTGCGGGGGCATTGGTGAGCCCGAACGGCATCACCCGATATTCATAGTGTCCCGTGGGCGTGTTGAACGCCGTCTTCCATTCGTCTCCTGGCCGGATCCGCACGAGATGGTAAGCATTGCGGAGATCCAGCTTAGTAAAAATGGAAGCCCCTTGAAGCAGCTCAAAAGCAGTGGCCATGAGAGGAAGGGGGTATCGATTCCGAACCGTGATCTTGTTGAGTCCCCGGTAATCAATACAAGGCCTAAGACCCCCGTCTTTCTTTTCAACAAAAAAGAAGCCCGCCCCAGCCGGGGAAGTAGAGGCATAGATGAGGCCGGCTGCCAAGGACTCCTTAATGTAGGTGTCCATAGCTGCGTGCTCGGGGGAGGACAAGGAAAAGATCCGACCTCTAGGAGGGCAGCACCCAGGGAGTAGATCAATGGCACAGTCATACGTGCGATGAGGCGGTAAGGCAGTAGCCCGGGCCTTGCTGAACACTGCCTTGAACCGATGGTAAACACTGGGGACTCGGGAGACGTCAACAGACTCTTGAAACTGGGTACTAGGGGCTGAGGGACTCTGAAGCATGCAGGTGAGTTGGCAAGTGGGACCCCAGCTAAGAATGGTACCAGTAGGCCAATCGATCTGGGGATTATGTCTGCATAGCCAAGGGTGACCCAGGATAATAGGATACTCGGGAGAGTCAATGAGATAGAAGGTCTCCTCCTGCTGGTGTTGAGAGATGGTAAGTCGCAGGGACTGAGTCGCCTCAGTAACCTTTCCTGGTTCCAGAGGTCTGCCATCTAAGGCTGTAACTGCCTGGGGTTGAGGAAGTAGTTGGGTAGGGATCTTAAGTTCCTTAGCCAAGGTTACATCCATAAAATCACCTGCGGCACCGGAATCGATCATAGCCTGGACCCGATGCTGGTGGCCCTCCCAGGACAGAGTGGCTGGAATAGCTAGGACCGCGTTAGTAGGAGGAGCTCTAATTTTCCCCATCACAACCCTCCTGTAGCTGGGCGGGGACAGGCGTTTCCCGAAAGCTCGGGGCAAGTGGAGCGGAAGTGGCCGGCAACCCCGCAGTAGAGGCACCGACGCTCCCTCATGCGACGTTCCCTTTCGTTGGGAGAAAGCCTGGAACGGCCTAACTGCATGCTCTCCGGGGAATCCTGGGGCAGTTCAGGCGCCGGGGCAGCTCTGAATGACGGAGTCCAAACAGGAAAAACAGAGCTGCTCAGAGGAACTTGGGACTGAGACACCTGACGGCGAGCCGTTCTCCGCTCTCTTAGACGATTGTCCAGGCGGATGGCCAAGGCTATGAGGGACTCGAGATCTCCAGCTGGTTCTCGGGTGGCTAACTCATCTTGAAGGGGCTCAGATAACCCTCCCTGAAAGCAGACCCTCAGCGCTTCATCATTCCATCCGCTCCTTGCTGCTATGGTCCGGAAATCAATGGCAAAATCTGCCGTGCTTCGGGGGCCCTGACGGAGAGACAGTAGGCGCTTGGAAGCCTCCCGCCCACTGACAGGATGATCGAACACCCGCTTGAACTCTTCTACAAATGCAGCGTGGGAGTCACAACAGACCTCCTGGGACTGCCACACCGCAGAAGCCCAGGCGAGCGCCTTTTCTGAAAGAAGGGTAATGATGTAGGCAATCTTGGAACGGTCTGTGGGAAAACTTGAGGGTTGGAGCTCGAAGGTGAGGGAGCATTGGGTGAGGAAACCCTGGCAAGAGCTTGGATCCCCAGAAAAGGGCTTGGGAGGTGTTAGTCGGGGCTCCGCCAACCGAGAAGGCCTGTCGTCACTGGGGGGTGACCTGGGGGAAGGGAGAGGACCAGGGAGGCGTTCAAAGAGCTGGCGAAGGGCACTCATCACTTCGGCCAAGAGTTGAGAATGACTAGCCATCAGCTCCTCTTGTCGGCTGAG